TACTTAAGGGAAAAATGCTTAGCAAGCTCTCTTATAATCTATTCTTACAGTTAAACAAGCCACCATCTGTGTTTACATTCATCCAACATGGAGCTGTCCCTTTAACGGGATGAGACGGCTCAGTGCCATCCAATTGTGTTCAGTCTCAATGAACCCTCAGTTAGCGTTTGATTAATTTCTTACCAACATTTCACTTGCCTCTTGCGATATCTTAGCCTTTAAGTAAGTGCCGCATTACATTTTTGTAGATCGTCTTTTCAGTTCCAATTATTATCTGCATTTACTGTTCCACAACCCACAGTGCATTCAATTTAGTCTCAGTGAGAGAGTTCTGTTACCCAGCAGATCCCAATCATTTAATATTTCATCTCTTGGCCCCGGCAGCTTTCTCTTTAAACAGATATACGCTGACCATAAGCCAAATACTTAAGCTTTTATGACTTCAACTACCACTGTGCTCAGGCAGCCAAATACATGAAGACACTTTGTCCACATAATGTAGAATCCTAGCAATATGAGCAGGAACAGTCTGGCTGAGCATTTTCAGAGCTTTAGTTTACAGTGATCCTTTAAAAGGCTTCTTATCCCTTAAACTATTATTATTATTAATATTTATGAGAACGCTCAGGATTTAAACAATTAACAGTTGAATGAATACAGAATTAAACATGATATAAAGCAGGCAGTCAGCAACCTATGTTCAGGTAAAGTCGCTAAGAGGAGATAGCCAGGTAGGCTACATTCATCTTCCACTTAAAAGCCCTTAAGGAGACACTACATCTTTTTCTCAAAAGCCCTTAAAGGGACACTTGCATTGCAGCACTAAGTCTGCCTTCTTGCATCCAAACAGACCTTTGGTATGCTAGCTGACGTTGGACGTAATATAGTATTCCTCTACTATGCTTTTATGGCAAACCAATTAAAATAAAATAAAATCACATCCCAATGCATTGTGTGGCCATACCGAGCAGTGGGCATAGTAGAGAACGAAAGGCTCAAACCTGGTCTCTGTCTTTCTAGTTATTAACTTTTTATTTGCTCTTTATCGTTACAACTGCATGAAAATTTAAGTTGTTCATTCTGCATAGCCAAAAAAATAGATGTCAAACTACATCGCTTCTTCAGTTTGCTACAGTATGACAAATTTCATTAGCGGACTGAAATAAAAGTTTATTTCACAGCTTTAAATGCTTCTTTGTCAATGGGGGAGACGAGATGCTGGGCACCCCTTGAATGGAGTAAAGTAAAAGAACCAGTGTTAGAAATGAGACATGACAATGAACCGGTCACCCAATTTCTCCCAGAATCCTTCATTGCGACTTGAATGAAGCAGATATTTGAGTGCCAGGACAGGCTTACAAACATATCTAGTATCCCAGTCAAGTGAGATTTTTCACAAGCAGTCTCTCCCTCCTACGCAATCTTCAAACCCACACACGTGTGAAAGGCAAGAAACCAGGTTTAGCACAAAGATGAGGAAGATTTTCTTACTTAAAATAGCAGAAAATTATATCAAGGTTCTTCGCAGGACTTGTCTTCTGACTTACCCAACTTAACTACAGTCCAACCAGGACCCCTCATTTCACTGAACCCCTTTATATACCCTTGTGACATCTGTTTTATCACTCCACTGATGGCTGAAGCTTAATGATTAGCCTTTTCCAGCAACATTTGTAGAGTGTATGCAAGGCACAGACCGTTAATTGGAAAAAATAACAACAACAAAAAAAATATAAATCCGTTATCCTTTCACTCCAGCTACTCTGGCCTTAAATTTGAAATTCACTTTTAATTTTCATTTTAGTGCAAGACCCTGTTAGTCATGTGACCAGTGTAGCTCATTCATTTTTTTTGTAAATTTCTTTTATTCAAGGAATTTTCATTTTATGCAGAAAGAGAGAGAAGAAAAAAAACAAACACATTGTCGCGGACACGCAGGTCCAATAAAGGCTTTCCCAGTTCATGTCTCAGACATGAGATAGTTATTGTGAACGACATAGTGACATGCAAGTCATCAACCAGTTTAAAGACGTATACTAGTTGGGCTCATGGGTCCTATAAACCTTTGTGTGGATGGGGTTTTCCCTCTCTCGTACGGTTGTTGTGGCTATAGTATATCACCCAGTGTGACAAAGGTGGTTGATGTCTTGTGTCTAGGCAGGTGGTGTGTTTTGACCAAGCGTATGGGGGAGAAATCGGGTGTTGTGTGTGCCTTGCGCGTTCAGTTCTCAGATCTTTGGTGACAGTGGGGTATACCCCTGTTGATCTGGCTGGGGTGGCGGTGGTTTGTAGTAGCTCATTCATTTTGATGCTTTCCTATAGGAAGCTATTAATAGGATGTGTGTGTGTGGCAGCTGTGGAGCATGTTCCTCTATGAAGAGTAATGACTCTGAGAAGAAACCAACAGAGCAATGGCTCCACAATGACGGTGCCGGAGGCAGAGTGGGTATCTGCGCCATGAGAGTCTCCAAGTTTCAAAAAAAAAGTAAGTAACACCTTACTAGTGTAACAAGCGCTTACCTTTCCCCGCCGGTCCCGCGCAGCGCCGGGTCCTCCTCCGATCCTTCCGGGGGGCGGCTCAGATATTCTGACGCCGGCCGCTCGGACACGCCCACATTTATGACGCGGCGCATGCGCGCCGACGTCAGACCGAAAATGGCGCCAAAATTCAAACGTGGCCACGCTCCTGGACTTTTTGGGGGCGTGGCTACGGAATTAAAGCCAAAGAACCCACACTATAAAAGGGCTATCATGACACTTGTCAGATGCCCTAGTGTGGTTCTTGTTTAAGTCCCTGGTGCTATCTTTTCTTATTGTCCTTCCTGGTATTTGACCCTTGGCTATCTCTCTCTGACTATTCTGTGTTCTGGTTTCCCGTATCTTGGCTTGGATAATCGTGTGCCCGTCTTCCGTATTTTCTGACCTCTGGCTATTTTTGACTATTCTCAGACGCTAGTATGGCCATTCTAAGGTAACCGTCTTTCTGTGGGTTTCACGCTGTGTGAAGGGGTCACTGTTGTGACTTTGGTCACTGTCGTGACAACTAGACCTTTACTTTTGTAGGCGAAGAGGAGTAGAGGATGCTAGATCTAAACATGCACCAGGACACTATATTGTTAGGAATACAGGTTTGTTTTCCAACCACAACAATGGTCCTTTAATAAACAGTAAGACAAGACCCCTGTTTAGAGAGAAGATCTAGAATGTTAAAACCGGGTAGATGTTGTACCTGTAGAATTACAAGCAAAGTATAATGAAAAGCGGATTCCATTACAGTTATTCATCCACCCTTGCAGCATTCCTATACACTCAGTGGCTACTTAATTAGGTCCACCGATATTGTACAGGTACTTTGGACCCCATTTGCCTTCCTAACACAGATACGCACATTTCCTACAGCAATATATTTATGAAAGGAAAGCGTCCCAAAGGATGGGCATACAGGTAACTTCTGTGTGAAAAGGAAGAATATGATGTTGGCTCACACTGGGGCCATACAGGGATGCAGAGAGGTAGGTAGCAGCAATGCTTAGGTACAATGTCGCTTTTTCAATTCTCAAATGTGTGTGCTGAAGAAACCTTTCCCAAACCATTATATATCAGCCAGTATGTAGCAGCAGGACATAATAATGCTGATAAATGTAGCAATAGCACTAATTAAGATTTGACCGACCAGTTGACATTTTCCTGACTTAAGTTTTTCCAGTTTTGGTGAACAAGGGCCACTGTAGCTCAATGTTACCATTCTTAGCGGCCAGGAGTGTAACAGTGTACAGTGGCCTATCCATATGTGCTCAAAGATGCCCTTTAGACCATCCCGGGAGATCAGCTATTTCTGCGATGATGGAATCGCCAAATTTGGCCACAACAATCTCACTATTGTCAAAATTGTCTTCATTTTAACATGAGTAACTAGTGACATCCACAGCATCACTGGTAAACCCACTGTTCAGGCTGGGATCCTCCTGCCCAAATCTTATAAAAAAATTTTTAGTGTTGGGAGTTACACTACCATTTCAGTTGAGGATTTCAAAACTGACGCTTTCCATGTCCTTCCAGTTGCAATGCAGCAAGAACCCTGGAAATCAGCTCCCTAACGATATAAGCATAAAGACAGTAACTCTGCCTTGCATGACATAGGAGGGTTGAAGGGCCATTGATGGTATTAAATGTTGAAATAAAATCACAAGATACATATTTAGACATTATAACAAAAAGTTAGAATGTGTGGTTAAATTGTTCTTTTTTCTTTTGTTAGTGCTTAACCTCTGTCCTATACATATTAAATACCGACTGCTAGCAATTTGTTATCAGCTCATTTGGCAGGAATCACAAACTATATCCTTAGCTAATCAAAAATGGAAAAATAATTACTTTTATTTTACGCAACAGCAGCAACTAGCACTCAGCCTAGCACTTGTCTGCAATGTCAGCAAGGGGTATAACCTTAAATTCTGGGAAGAGAATGCAATCTGCTAGTTTATTTATTAATGCAATCTTTTATTAATCACACTCTGGGTAAATCTAATACTCAGCCTTGCTTGTGGGCAGAGAGGAGACCTATCTGAACTCAGGTGACGAGTGGAAATAATTGAAAAGACTCGTCTTATTCCTGGCAAACAATGCTAGTGAGAACTGGGCACGTACAGACACATTCATATTTCGGAATGTTTATTATCTGTTACAAAATGTATTTAAAAAAAAATAAAAAATAAAAATCCTGTAAGATTTCACTTTGGTGGAGCAGTCATGATTTTAGGCCTGTGTGCCTCAAATTTGTCCCCAAGTGTGCAGAATGAGCACAAGAGTCAGGCCGGCTAGGTGGCAACAGTACTGTTCACTCCTAACTCGATTCATGCAACGTTCCATTTCCTTTTCAACTATTTTGTCTACAGCTCTTATATGTCAAATTCATTCAAATATTGCAAATAGTTACAGACTCATCACTAGTGATGCCGCGAACTGTTCGCGGCGAACTCCGGTCAGCTGACACATCCCTGCCAATCTCCGGCAGATCCTCCCTCCCAGACCCTCCCACCTCCTGGACAGCATCCATGTTGATGCTGTCCAGGAAGTAGGAGGGCCTGGGAGGGAGGGTCTGCCGGAGATTAGCAGGGATGTGTCAGCTGACTGGAGTTCGCCACGAACGGTTTGCGGCGAACCATTCGCAGCAAGTTCGCGAACGGTTCGCGACATCACTACTCATCACCTGACAATTCAATTCCTCTTCCATTGTTGATACTTGGCATTTTGTAGCGGTTTATCAAAAACCAATCATGTTTTTATCATTTGCCTAAAATCAGTCATCACTTGAATGTTTGGACTAACTGTTGTACAGCGCTACAGAATGCGTTGGCTCTCACTAAATAAAACGAATCAATTCTAGAGTGCAGTGATTTTGTAACTGCTGAAAAGCCTCTTGAATAAAATAAATTACAAGCTCTTAAAGGAGCACTATAGCATTAGGAATACAAATCTGTATTCTTAACGCTATAGTGAACCTGGTCCTACTTGTATTCAGGTTACCCCACATGTGCAATAAAAAAATTTTTTTTTTTTTTTACTGACAGTCACTAGGGGTGGACTTAACCTTGCGGGTTAAAGATTGCCGTTTCTCAAAAACTGCACTGTTTTACATAGCAGGGTTAAGAGGACAGGGACAGCGCACAGGGATCACTTCATTGAGAAGACGTGGTCTGGGTGTCTATAGTGTCCCTTCAAGTGAAACAGTAGCACTGCAGAGACAAACCAGTGGCGGCCAGTGAAGTTTAAAGACAGTATGGTGCTTAACCCCATAAGAAGCCGTGCCCGGTTAAAGAAAAGAAAGAATTGAAACATCATATATAATCTCTCTTGGATCACAGGGTGCAACCGGGCCTGAGGTTGGCCAATCCTCACAATGTAAATTGCAGAAAAGTAATGATGGTCCAGGTACTCAAGGTAAATCCAGTGAGCCAATGTATTGAAGCAGATGAAAAGCAATGCTTTGGTCCTCAACAGGGTCTTTGTCAAACATAACAGTGACATGAGTTAAAAACGAACATTCAGGACATTCAGAGTCAGTCCTGACTATTGTGTCCCAAACTTCTCGAAGGTCAATGACGTGCTTATCCTGCAATTTTGGGGGGGAGATTTTCTCTGGTGACACCAAAACATGGTTACCCGGGCAACACAGTCTCCCAAAATCAGACCTGTCCAGCCAGATTCAGGACACTTATAGTCTATGGACACGGTTGTAAGCTCATCACAAGCCACTGTTTAGTGAACAGAGTAAAAAAAGTGAAATGATCTTCGCATGCCACTAAAAATAATATTAAAATAAACAATCCAACTACCAACACTTAGAAGATTCACTTTCTATCTTTAAATTCTGTGAGCTACACATACAAATTGTAAGTGACCAGGGAAACCGAGCCTGGAATCTTTAAACTAATTATGCTCTTAATTATCCGATAGATTGAAAATATCTCATCATCATGACAGCCAAACGTGACACTCAGGACTTGGAAAGCCTGGTTCTTGTCATTACAGATCATGGTATAATCCGGTTTAAAAAAAAAAAATCAAAAAAAAAAATCACGTGTCTATCAGGATTTAGGGTATTATAGATATTACAATCCATTTTCTCACTGCACAGCCCTTAATCCCCTTGGCTTTCATGAATCTGACGCGGTGGATGGCCTCACATTGCAGGACTATCCCTTGAAAACGTCTCAAAGCATCAAAGGTTTCAGAGAGGATGCTAAATCCTCCTTTTTGTTTGGCAGATTCCCATTCATTTCACTGGCACATGTTTTCATTAATTTGTTTTCAAAGAGGAATTCATTAGAGAGATTATTATTATTAAACAAACCAATAATTAACTAAAAGAATAAAGAAAAGAAAAAAATAGAGGCAAGCTTTAATTTGTACTTCTACTCCATGGAATGCTGCCATACAATATAAAATAAATCAAACTCATATTTCAACATACATAATCACATAAGGACACATGTGCTTGCTCATGGAGGTGAAACCCACATACTTATGCAAGTGTCACATACACAGGCCCTATGCATTTTTATGCTGGCAATGCTAGACCCTAGAAGTGTTGAGGGTAGAGGTACCTTATATCTGCTTCCTAATTCTGCTTTAAATGAACACTAGTAGCACTGTGGATTGTGTCTTAAATAGAACATTTAGGTTATGTCATAAGGTACAAGACTTGTCAGGGTTTAGTAGCCAGAGTCCATTATTAAGTAATCACAGGAAGGATAAGGCAAAGGTAGGGTTAGGCCAACGAATGGTCAGGTCAAACAGTACAGGTTCATAAACAGAGATCAAGCCAAAGGTCACATACCAGGGTAGTCAGAGTGCGAACAATAGCAGAAAATCCAGATACTACTTGCACTCAATCACACATAAGGTGCAGGTATTTAGGTCACCTCTAAAGAGCCAAAATCAAATAGTACAAAAATACCAAAGGATACCGTAATCTAATTTAAAGGACCACAATAGGCACCCAGACCACTTCAGCTCAATTAAGTGGTCTGGGTGCCAGGTCCACCTAGGTTTAACCCTTTTTGCTGTAAACATAGCAGTTTCAGAGAAACTGCTATGTTTACATTTGGGTTAATCCAGCCTCTAGTGGGTGTCTCATTGACAGCCGCTCGAGGCGCTTCCACGCTTCTCACTGTGATTTTCACAGTGAGAAGATGCCAGCATCCATAGGAAAGCATTGAGAATGCTTTCCTATGGACTGGCTGAATGCGCCCGCAGCTCTTGCCGCGCATGCGCATTCAGCCGATGACGGAAGAAGAGGGAGGAGAGTCCCAGCCCGGTGCTGGAAAAAAGGTAAGGGATTAACCCCTTCCTCCCCCTTCACCCCGGCAGGAGGGGGGCCATGAGGGTGGGGGCACCCTCAGGGCACTATAGTGCCAGGAAAATGAGTTTGTTTTCCTGGCACAATAGTGGTCCTTTAAAGAGAAGATTATTAAATTATAATTTATTGACACAACATAGTAATACTGGATAGAGTGTTAAGCTATCCATTTAATGACTTGCCCACCATAGTTAAAGTGCAAAAGAAACCTTAAAGTGCTAAGTGCCAAATAACCATAAATACATATCTAAAATACCAAATAACACAAAACAGAGAAAGGGTGCGTCTCAGAACAAATGGTAGAAATAATAATAGTCCAAATGATTTATCATAAATCCAGAATGATGCAATCCACGCTTATAGGGAGGACTCTTGAAATACAATAGGATGGAAAAGGTCTTCACGGGTATGTACTTGAAATTCGGTGAAACATATGGGGAGAGAGAACATAAAAACAGGACTCCAATGGTACAGTATGTAGACAGAATAAGATAATAAAATAGTGGTAATCAGTACTACTCACAATCTACAGAGCTAATATCCAGCTCTGGTTTTGGGTGCGTGAAGTGGAATGATCCCCACTCAAGGATATGTGAAGTGGTGCTGGTTAACAGGTGTATAGGATGACTCAGTAGTCCAATATTGTTGCGATCCAGCCAAAAAATAGAAAGAATGAAATACAGTGCTCACTGCGTCTTTTTGGATAAAAATATATAAAATATGTGAAATGTACTCACAATATGTAGAGCAGGCTATACTGCTCAATGTAAGCGTATGAGTGGTATAATCCCCACCAACGGATTCTTTGTGCTTCTTTAATAAGCGGTGAATATCGGTGTAGCCAGGTAAAAACGTATAAAATAAAAGTAATAGTATGTCTCATGTATGTCTAAAGTGACTACAATCTAAAATATGGAATACTGCCTGCCAACTATCCTCTGTAAAAAGCAAAACCTTCGGAAAATAGAGGGCACACAAATATCAGTGAAATCAAAGTTCATGAAGAATAGTCTAGGAGTCTATCAGCCTGTCTCAATCTGGAGTATGTTACTGTAGATCCCATATAAAATAAAGAAAAAAGTTAATGAAAAGAAAAAAAGGACAATCTGAAAAAATAAAAATAGAAAAAAAAAATGCTAGAAACATTTTTTTCTGTGATAGGTTTGCAATGAGGTACAGGATCTTCAGAAAACAGGAAAGGAACTCTGTGTTTCCAATGTAGCTCTTTGAGTAGTTTCTGTGATAGCAGGAAGGAGTCAAGCAGAGCCGGGGCTGTACGCTCGGGACTTTACTTCCCTTCAAGTGGCCCTGGTGTAGAGAGTAAAATCCTTCTGTTATAAAGTTCGACGTTCCAGCCATTCATCCTAGTGGTACGTCGTGACGTCACCATCACGTGTTTACGCGATGACGTCAGTGGTGATGGTGGCCGCTAAAGTGCAAAATTGGTATTGAAAATGCTTGCGTCCTACAGCTCCACTTACTAAGGTGAGCACTGTAGTAGTGAAATAGCTAAATTGGTCTCTAAAGCCCTTAGACTAGTGAGATTAAGAGGTCGGTTTGCCTAGACTAGAGTATCCTCGGGTTGCCTAAAGCTGTCCCTCGATTTAACATCAAAAAGTGTAGAAATGGTTTTTAAAAAAATAAATAAACTGGGGCTCTCCAAGGCAAGAAGAAATCACCTTCCCGTCCTGATATTGTGGAAGTTGCCCTCCTGTATTATCAATGTGAATACTAACCAACCTGAACGGAAATGAGAGGCGGTGACCACCAAGAATAATAAACTTAGAGTGACACTAAACTATACTAATAAAAATAAATAAATCAATACCAGGACATACTTGAAAACGAGTGAAATCTCAATGTATCTTTCCTGGTAAATATTTTATAAATAAATAATTTTAAAAACACTGTTTAGTAGATATACTTAAAATGAAAACATGCATGCATTTAATTATGTACTTGTCCATTGTGGGTATATCAAAAACAGAATGCAGAAGCTGCAGATCCCTTGTCTGCAGCCTTTGCAAGTCCTCCCCTTGTAACCATGCTCAAACTTTCTGTGGCTGTGCAATCACAGACTTCCCAATGCAGATCAATGAGAAGTCTTTCTGAGGCAGATGTTCTGGGCAATTGCTGTCTTTTGAGTTTAGCTCCCAGTTGTGTCTAATGTGTTTTTAGAGAAAAGAAAAAAAAAAAAAAAAAACACATTTCAACAGGGTAATCCCTAAATCCTGGACTTGCGTGGGGTACG